TTGCTGAAGCGGCTGGTGTTTGACACGTGCGACATTGCTAGTTCACACCTAAGCAAGGATGCAGTTGACTTGGGCTTTCTCCAAACCTGCCGTGGAGCACAGTCCACCGATGACCGTCAATATCGTTTCCGGCATCTATCTTTGCAGGAGTTTCTGGCGGCGTGGTACATAGCAAAGTGCCTGGCATTAGAGAAACATCACGCCACTGCACTGGTACGGCGAGTCGGCTACCAAGGCCACATGGCGACGTTCTGGAAGTTTCTCATTGCCCTATGCCCAGCAGATGTTTCACTCGCCATTGTGGAGGAATTGTGGTATACCAGAGGCTGCAGTGCCACCCAGCAAGCTTCCGCAAGTGGTCTTGCTGAGCAGATGCATGATGATCCCAGTGTTCTCACTGATCACCTGCAAGTGGAGAAGGTCCATGGTCGCCTCTGCGAGATCTTGACATTTGACAATATGACTCTCCTTGCGGATGTACTCCTTGTTCCACCCACTGACCGTGGCCGTGACAAAGGAAAAGAGCGTGTTCGCAGCTCAATGCCAACAGCACGGGAGCCCACAGATGCGCTGTTCCTGAGAACTCTTCTGTTACTTTGGATAGAAGACGGCCGTGTTGCAACTGGCACAGCGCTACTTGAGGCACTGTCGCAAGTTGATGTTGAGCTGGCAAGAAAGTGCGAGACCTTTCTCCATCCTGCCTCCATGCTGCTGGGTCAGGAATCTACACAAGCTGCGCCCTCCAGTATTGAAAGGTGCGTTGATTCCAGTCGTTTTCCTTGGGATATGTTTTTCCCGCTTCTGATGTCATGCTATGAGCATTCAACGTATCATAGTGTGTCTTGCGATCAGGAATGCTCGTTCCTTAGTGCTCAGCTACCACCGGAGATTTTGCTCGGCGTAGCTTCTCTCTCTTCTCACGATTGCTTGGTGTTCGGTTCTTTGCTGTGCAATAGCTCTTTCCACGATTTGGAGAAAGCCGTCCCTTCCTGTGACCCGTTGGTTGGTGGCAGGCTCATTCGCATGGTACCTGTCAGCCCTGACCAGAGTCAAGCCATCCGTGCACTAGATCTGTCCTACAATCGTATCGACGATGGCAGGGCACTGGCATGTGTTATTGCAGGCGTGTCAGCTAGTCTTGAGAGTCTTGATGTCCGAGTGAATCCCGTTGGTACAAAGGGCTTGGTGTGGGTATGTGCTGCACTCTGCCATTGTAAGAAAGTTCGTGACGTCAGTATGTTCTTTTTGAGTATTCATGGTGATGGTCATGCTGATTTTTCACCACTGTCAGCAGTCTGTGAGATGTTGGAGCACTGTTTGCAGCTGGAGAGATTGGATATGTTCAATTGCCCGTTGAAGGTTCCATGGCCGATCAGTTTCGACTCATCGGAGCAGTGGTAGCTTGTTCGCAGTTGTGCGAGTTTGATGTGATTGGTCTAAACCCAGTTGTGAAAGGTTTTCTTGATTTCATTTTGAAGCAGCGAGTAGCGGAGCGCGATGACCGCTACCGCAGCGATGATCACGACGACCACTACGTCGACAATGATGATGACAATGATGATGATGATGATGATGACGATTATCATTTTGCCTTTTGCGGTGGGCAATTACTTGCTTCCGTGGATGCCGTGGCTCGTATAACAAAAGACGTTTGAATTCATTTGTTGCTCAGTGCCGTCAGGCTCGTTAGTGCATTGCACTTGACCTGAGCAGAATATCACATGTCACTTCAATAATTATGTGGGATTAATATCTTACGTCATTTAATAGACAATATCTTTTTGGTACAATATCAGTAATCATCCAACATTTATCTGGCACAATAATATTCTTAATTTAACTCAATTCAATGGTTTCCCGACTATATTGACATATTCATTGATGATAATCTATTCAGTTTTCTCTGGATTGCCCGTAAAAGAGGCCCTTCTCTATGATGATGACGATGACGACGACTATGGAGGCAATGACGACGATGACGACTACGGCGACGATGACCACCACTTTCGATGGCTGGCTTGACGTCTTCTAATGCGGCAATGATGACAGTGACGACCACTGTGGCAGTGATGACAGCGGCGATGATCATGATCAGGACGTTGAATGTGCAGTTGTGCACCACTGTCGGCAGTCTGTGAGATGTTGGAGCACTGTTTGCGCCCGTTGAAGGGTTCCCCAGCCGATTCGTTGAAGCAGTGCAAACCTGTAATACAGTGTGGGGTTTCTCATACCCAGGAATTCAGAGTTGAATTGGAATCCATATTCAAGCAGCGAAGCGGATCACGAACATTTCTCCTGCTTGGTGGCATACAAGTGGAATTTTCTAGGACAACGATATGACATGGCCACAACGAAGTTATGCTTTTCTTCTTCTCCACCGTAGCAGATCCGTCTCAGCTCTCTGTACATATCCCGTATCGCATTTCCGTCTTGAATCGTACATGCAATATATAATTATTATAGTACCAATTTTCGTCTGATGATCGATTATGCTCGTGAAACTCGGAGTTGCGAAACCACACCGGCTCGTTCTTCTGTCTGTGTAATTATAGTTCTAGTTACGCTATTTTTCTTTTCGCATGGATCGGTGCATTTCTAAAGGTGCGCAAGCCCCACATTCTCGGATCCTTGCCGAGAATTTAATTGAGATATTGTGATTTGGCAGCGAAGAGACCACTTGATTTGAAGATGGTGTGTAGGGTTTTTCATCCCTGGCACTGAGAATGAAGACAGTCATATTTTTATTACTTCAAAGTAGGTTTAAAATTAAAACTTTCCTGCTTTGCATAAACTAGTCACTCACAGCTGCTTGACACTGCATCTCGTCTTCTTCACCCAGGAATGCATTGCATATACAGGCTGTACTGCTTGCTGAAATAAAATACATATGATTATGTCACAGTGATGATGCTACTGTAGTAGATTCATGGGTGCTTCACTCCAACACCCGCGCACGGATTATTATTAACTATTATTTTGTCTTCAATAGCAAATCTGTGGAACTCTGTGTTTGAGATCCTCACCTGCTGAAATTCAGCAAATCCAAGCAGGAGTTTCTTCCGATACCAAGATAGCGAATGTGCTGTGGTACGGTATGATGGCATTAGAAAACTGCATGCATGCAAACCTGGAATGGATATGGCACACACATCTATGTACACTTGTCCCGCTTTAATCCAGCACCAATATAAACCAGCATGGTTTCTAATAGCTTTAGTGACCTCTTCAAATGATGGCGGGTTATCGAGAGAGCACTGTCATGTAAGTCCACTATTGTGGAAACTTGCAGCATGAACCCTCTCCGGGCGAGCTATACCAAGTAAAGCTCTCTCAAACGAAACTCACGGTGAGTCAGGGCCGCGTGAGTGAAGTGAGTGATTCAAAACCCATACATGTACATCTACATCTACATGGCCAAAACCAGGCCTCTGTCTGAAGCCCTGGGTCCGAGTCGTCACGATTCGAGTGGATTGCAGTGGGTGATATAATGTCAGCTAATTAATTGATCTTTTTTATCTTTTTACGAAAAGGTTCAATGATGGCGGTTGGTACCGACGTGTAAAATGCTTTGCAATTAGCCTACTTGTACCTGTGCTCTTTAAAACCTATCTGTTTGGGGTATGATTGCCAGGCAGGACAGAATCATACATATAACAATTATTATGAGTATGATTCTGTCCTGCCTGAGCTGGGAACAGCTAAAAATTAATATAATACAAATATTATTTTGTAGCTCTTTCGAATTCTGTAGTTCTACCCTGAATTTATACAACATACATGTACATGTAGTCTTGGTGATCTACCAGCAGTCACGTGATCACTACACGGTTTACGATTGTATCGGGCTGGATTGTCGCTGTTGTCGCTGATCAAACTGCTGTCGCAGAGCAGATAGGCTCCTCACCATGCAGCCGTTCCCGCAGTGTTGTCTCGCCCTCTCACCTAAATTGCTAAGGCTAAAAACTAACTCCAACGCACTGAAGCCCAAGCCAGGGTGCCATAAAAACCCGGGTTTCACGGCAAACCTTTTTAAACTGCTGCAGACGTAGACATGTAGGCTTTTCTACTACTACAGGTCATCCAACGTACATACTGGTACATGTATTGTATCCCACGCCACAGGAAGTCATGGAAGGGGTTTCAACTACTTTTCACCACACGCCCCAGGGTCCGGAGGGAGTTGAGAAGGCCTTCCACGACTCCCTCGTTTTCATCGCTTCCTGTTAGATCTACAGTGCACACGGCGTATATTTACCACAGGAGTAGGGAATCATGTTTCTTGCCATGGTTTGCCAGTTTCTGAAATCTGTAGAGTCACAAAAATGGGCTTTTCAACAAAAAAACGACCCCCCCCCCCCAAAAACTGCGTCAGAGTCAGGTTAAAAAAATTCACGGTTCGCGTCAGACTCGGTTTCTCTATTATAGAGGCCGAGTTTTCCGCATCCGTAGGAACGCCACCACCCTTCAAGGATCAAGGCGCAGATGCAGCTCCTAAAGCGGTGGGAGGTGAGTAGATCAGCTCCCCAGCATGTGGTCAAAGACCGAAAATCCCATTCACTGCATCCATGTTTTCCTCGTGCCAGCCCGGGCCACGAGTTCCCAATTAACTGTGGGTCACAGCACGGCTGGAAAAAAGAGTCAGGTTGCAGAGCTGAAAATCCGCATCGGTCCAGAGTTCATCTTCCGCTGTAATCGTAGCCACAAACGACACAATGTATATTGCTATGCAGGGAATAATTTACTTTCATCCGTTTGCATAGCAATTTTGCTACACGAAATCAAACTTGAATAGCAATTCGAAAATGTTGCATAGCAATTTTCTTCAACACTTGACAACATTGTCATTCTGGAGAGCTGATCAGAGTGCAAGCTCAGACCACAAGTACGCTGTAACACCTTAGTTGCAAACCTAGCCTGGTGCCGGGATGAATAGCTCAGCACTTTCGAAGATTCATGCATCTTCATCCCAACAGACACACCCGACATGTACACTGTGCATGTAGTGGAAAATCAACATGCATCGCAGTGTTCTGCGACACATATCTGAAGTTGCTTCGCACCTCAGAAGAATTGCGTAGCAAACTGCGATGTGATACCGGTTAAATTATTCCCTGCTATGCCAAGCTGGCCGGGGTAACTGTATGCACATGCGGAGTGTTGATGACCACAAGTCAATACATGATTGCACATGTGCATGCCGTGAGGGGAAACTCATCCTGCAAGATCACAACCATTGGGAAAGTTCCCAAAATGGCTGAGATTTACTATCTTATAGATTGCTGCACTGAGCCAGCTTGATGACGAGGACATCATGACCCAAGCCATGGCTGTAACACGGCGGACTTGCGGTGTTGCGCTGGAGAGGCGGCTACGGTGAATTCCTCTCCTCTCAACTATGATACAGGGCACTTATAAATGGCAGAACTGAGCAACTTGATCTGCCCAGAAATAGCCTGCAAAAGCATTACTTTAGCGTTACAGTCATGTGTGTGCAGCCTTACAGAAACGGGGAAAGCATCTAAATTATTTTCAAAAGTATCGGCAGAAAGCTAGCACGGCCAGCCTCAAGGTTTTGTGTGATGCTCAAGGCAGTTGAAATGAATGTTGCGTGTGGTCATCAAAAAGCCAGTGCGCCCGTGGATAGCAGGCAAGCTATACGACCAGTCGGCCATCCACAAGTGATGATGGCACATCTGTGATTATCTGCTTGGATTGTGTATGCACATACATTATGCTGGTCGGGTCTAGTTGAAATCCAGCACTTGGAATTGTTGCGTCATCGACGCTGCCCCTGGCGAGTGGAGGAAAACAAGAGATGGTACAGAGAAGTCACTTGTAAAGTTGTAATACCTTCCCGGGGACTTCGACACGTCTTCACAGCGGACGTGTTTGACTGGAAAGGTCACGATTTTGAGCATCTTAATTCTTTTTAAAATATCCATACATCCCGGCATGTAGCCTGAATCCGTTAGAACTTGCTTTAGCACTGCTGTCGGTGTCATTGCTTCTGGGGGTGATTGAGCCTATGTGCAACACTATAGTATAAATGTACTATACGCTATCACACGTAGTCTGTAGCAAGGGATAAGGTGCTCACATGCATAGACTCATCACACTCACACTAGCAATTACTCCTACACCCCAAACACCTCCCCCCCCCCCCCCCACACACACACCCATTCATCCACACCCAGACATGCACACCCACATGCCCACATACATACATACATCCACACCCATATGCCCACACACATACATACATACATACATACATACATACATACACAGCACACTCACACATGCACACACTGACTTTGAATTCTAAGCAACATGTTCAAACTAAACAGGCTACACCCACATCTCCGTTACCTGCAATTTGCCATGGATACGCAAAGGCCTGGTATGAGGACCTCGACGTTGCTCCCAGTTGCCTCGTTCCGGGCCTCGGTGTGACACCTAGCTGCCGTCCAACGGGATTGTAGTGATCCAACGCAAAGTTGTAGGACGTAGCTGCAAACACGCACAAACGCACACACACACACACACACACATACACACACACACACACACACACACACCAACCAACGCCATGGAAAGGAAGTGTTTGAAGTCAACGCACACGGAGAGAGAGAGAGAGAGAGATAGAGAGAGAGAGAGAGAGAGAGAGAGAGAGAAAGAGAGACAGACAGACAGAGAGACAGAGAGAGACAGACAAGGAGAGAGAGAGAGAAAAAAGCATAGCACCATAAAGAAGCCAGTGAAAGGAAAAGACAAGTGAAAAGGAAAGACCGAGAGAAATCGAAGGAAGAGAAAGTGCCAAAAAAACTGATGGAGCTCCTTACCCACCTATCTGTACAGTGTGAAAGCTACCACATGGTTTTTCAGGTTCTACTAGCGGCTTATACATGACATGTATACAACACAGACATGTGAGCAATCCCTGGTTTCAGACCATCACTAGCTAAGCCGGTGGCAAATACCGTAAAACCGGAAAGTTTTGGTGGAGATTTATTTTGGTGACTTGGGTAAGGGTAAATTATATCTCCATAAGATGCAACCAGGTCATGCAACCAGGTCATGCAACCAGGTCATGCAACCAGGTCATGCAACCAGGTCATGCAACCAGGTCATGCTACCAGGTCATGCAACCAGGTCATGCAACCAGGTCATGCAACCAGGTCATGCAACCAGGTCATGCAACCAGGTCATGCAACCAGGTCATGCTACCAGGTCATGCAACCAGGTCATGCAACCAGGTCATGCAACCAGGTCATGCAACCAGGTCATGCAACCAGGTCATGCAGCCAGGTCATGCAACCAGGTCATGCAACCAGGTCATGCTACCAACACTGTAGTACTGTACTAGTACTTATAGGAGAGTACGCCATACTGACCGACACGGAAAATAGAATGCTGTGGACAACCTGGTTTCGGGATATACTGGATATTGCACGGCCGAAAACGTCTACTTTTCCAGGAGAGCAAGCAGGTGCAATAAGCATCGCCAGGCATGAACGTAGATCCACATCGTACCGATCAACATTGGAATTACGGCTCAACTCGGAGCAGCTGCAAACAGATTACCGTCTAACCATACTGTATGTTGCTGCCTTTTCCGTACAGTAAACGCATTGGGGTACTGAAGTCAGACCCAAGACATGATACCCTATCATACGATTACATTCGAACGTGCCCGTCGATGCATGTAACTCTTACCTGCAGCGGATGCCGTGTTCAGCAGGTGAGGTGGTCGCGCCATGGGTTTCGGCCTCGGCGGCTTGTACTGCGTAATGACTGGCTCATGACCTGCAGGGAATGAGGAGTGACAACCGTCAGTAGGGGCAGAAACAATGATCTGGTTTCAGAGTATCAGGGACTGAGACTTAAGACCCCTGTGCATTGAGGTGTTTAATCAGACAGAATAGCCAATGACCTAGTTTTCCTGCATGGCATGGGCATTGCTACCAATGCATGTTTCAGGCGGGAAGTAAAATGACATGGGCAGATGAGACAAAACTTTGGCTGGGTCCCCAAGCAAAACTTTATCACCAAAAACAAACTGCGGGTGGGATTCGCTACGGGGCTAGCCACCTGTTCCAGGGATTTCCTGATGTTACGTCACAGCTGTGACACTGCGGAATTATTTGAGGATGTAACACCTGGTCAGAGACGGCAAGGCCAGGTCCTGCACCAACATAGGCAATAGCTACCTATCATGAGTCGAGTCTGGGGTGGGTTGGATGGGTTGAATGGGTAGTGAATGGGTTGGATGGGCTCACTTGGTAATTGCTCTGGTTGTGATTTCATCTATCATTGGCTCACTGACTAAAGACTGTGTACCAATTTCAAATACAGTCAACTTCGCTAATAACGACTGCGGATATAACGACCATTCGCAAATAACAACAAAATGTCCATACCCAGAGCAAAGTCCCATCTAACTGTAATACATATAATGAGACTTGGGTTATAAGGACACTTCGCGAATAGGGACACTTTTCTGATGGCCCGCCAAGTGTCGTTATACGCAAAGTTGACTGTAGGGCGGAGGCGCACGCACACTGATCCTTAGAATCTAGTGTTCTTTCCAAACTGTGTGCTATTTATTAACCATCCTGGAAGCACCTCGGGATCAGCATCTCGGTGACATGCGTATTCCAGGTTGACGCTTGTGTAGTAGTATGGTGAGGTCCTACCGCGCTTCGAGTCAAACACTACTTCCCTGGAAATTTCAAGCACTTATCAAGGCTCTAAACTACGACACAGACACACACAGACACACACAGACAGACACACAGACACACAGACACACAGACACACACACACACAAACACACATGAACACACACACACACACAAGTTGGCGGAATGGGCAAAGCGCTGGTAACCGTAGTAACATAATGACATGACTTACTGTAAATCTGCTCAATGAGCAACCGCTGTTTGGCTGCCATCACGCTGGTATGGGAATACATGCAGATGGACATACGCATACATGCCCACATGGCCGTGTACACACACACATACACACACACACACACGTGTGCACACACCACATTCACATTGAAATAATGCAGGCGTTAGTGACAAGCTCAGTGAAGTTATCAGTAGGCTGGTATTGTGTGAGAGGTAAGTTGATTTCGTATACACACATACGTCATGTAGATCCCATAAGCCTAAGAAGTGTCAGGCTAGAAATCACATACTCGCAGCGCTTAGTTCATTTCGCAATAACAAACTCAAACTCAAAACAGACAGCAACAAAATTGGGAAGCAAAACATGTGAATGTTCGAGTTGATTCATTGTTCACAACGACCAATGGCTGAATTATTAAGCAGTGGCTGCATTTTTTTATGCAGCAAAAAAGCTTTTTAAAACATTTTAAGCAGTGGCTACATTAACCTGTGGCTGCATGAAGCAGCGTCCCTCACCTGGGAGTCCACTCGTACAGTATGCGCTGTCTCTTACGCTTCACGCGCGTCAGCTTGCGACGCAGATATCGCCTCCACGCCAGTTGTATAGTCAAGGCTGCGACCTGCTGACGCCACTCACGATTGCCAAGCTGCAGCGAAAAATCATGGCATTTGCAGGGTCAACCTTGATCAGGCTCCAAGTTGAATGTCCCTGCTTCGAGTCCTGGTGGTGACAGTCAATTTTTTCTTCAGATCTTTCCCGTTTGCATCTTTCCCTCAAACCAATGAACAAGTTGACATTGCGGATATTTTTTGTTGAAACGGAGCCAGGACTTCCGACTAACTGTGTGAATTTGCAGTGTGGCTGAGTGGTGGCCAGTGTTGCCATCTACCGATCTTGCTACATTGGAGCTGTGTGAAGCGTCGTTCCAAATTTTGAAGGAGCAAGCGTGTTTGTTGCTAGACATAAAACCCTACCTGTGCCGCCTTCTTGCGTGATTTTCTCGCACGTTCTTTGGCCAGCTTGCGTCTCAAGTACCTGGAGTGGAAAGAACAGAGAGGAATATTCAAGCATAGCCTATGAAGCATGGTGCTGTGGTGAATTCTGTTGTCAAGAGCTGCGCTTATAAGTTGCAGTAAAAAAGGAGAAAGGCCGCTGACTGTTCTTGGATGACTCCTGGATTATGTGCAAGATAATGATCACCTGCAAGGAAGTTGCCTAGTCAAGGGCCCCTGGATTTCATGACCTACAGTTTGTAGTAGGCATCCACATGCTTCACGCAAGCCCCCCCCCCCCCTTCCACACACACACACACACATGCATGTTTGTGCCCCCCCCCCACACACACATGTGCATCAGCGGCTTGCCCCCCCCCCTCCCTCCCACGCACATGCATGTGCGTGCCTGCTCCCCCCCCCCCCCACACCCCTTCCTCCCCCCCCCCCATACACACATGGCTTTGCATGCTATCTCCCCAAAATACATTCAATCCATGGCACTCACTTTCTCCAGGCCAGCTGTATGATCATGGCAGCTCTGTTCTTGCGACGGATCTCCGCCAGACGTGCGTACTCACGCTGGATAACATCACGTCGTTGCTGCACATCGTCATGTACCTGCAGTACACACCGTACCATGAGACAAGATCTATCGTTGTTTTACGATCAACAAAAGAAACGGAACTCATTTTGTCCAAGTGGCCGAGTTCTCGTTTATTAAAAAATTAGGAATAATAATGTGTTTGAGCAATTTCATGACACGCGTGAGACTCGATCAGGCTGGGATTTCCGCATCTGCTTCCAAGCATGACTTGAGCCTGGCACCCTCTGTCTAGGAATCATGGTCATAGACCATACCACTATACCTGCCCGATCATCATAGGTGAGGTTCAATCCTGAAACAAATCCAGAATATACATGCACATGTACCGTAAGTGACGCCGACGTTATTCTCTTCACGATACCATCAATGCAACCCAGGAGTGCTGTCAAATTGTTTGTTGAAAAATTCTTACCATAGCCACATCTGATGAGGTCAGCTGGCCATGCTGTGATATGGGGGGAAGACGCACTCCTTTACCTTTGTCTTTGCTGCAATGCACACACACAAACACACGCACACACGCGTGCATGCGCACACACACACCCACACACATGCACCCACCCACCCAAACAAACACACACACACACACATACATAACGCGGAACATAATAATTATTATGATCAATCGACGAAGGCAATATCGAATTGTGTCCCACCCGGGGCATCTAGGAACAGATGCGTTCCTCTGCTGGATTGGAAGAGCAGGCCTGAGACTACCAATGCGCGTACATATTTGTAAACAAAGAAGAGTTCTCCATTCGCTGAGCATTGCCGCTGCAAGAGCACAGCAGCCGTGGCACTACCAAACTTCAGCATGTGGATTTGCTCCGGGTTCCTATTTCACCTCCCTACTACAAGTACTGACCTTGCTTTGACCATCCTGTTGCCGGCTGCAATGTCGATAGGCGGCAGTGATGACTGACCACCGTCCACCTCCCGCTCCAACCTAGCAATGCGGTCCTTGCCATGGGCAATAAGCTGAAGCAAAAGAGTGTGAGCAAGCCCAGGTGCATGAGTAAGAGGAGCCGCAGGAGGATGCCCGTGGCAATGATGGCGTACAGGACAAGCAGAAGACAAGTGGATGATCAAGTGTGATGCATTTGTGTAACTGCCAATAATCCATCAGTTATGATACATATTCACCTGCCGTCACCTCCAAAGAGCACATTTGCTTTGCTTGTGAGGGGAGTTAGTTCTCTTTAGTTTCCCAACACTAATGATGCTAATAAAACCAAGATATTGGCGAGTCAGGACGTGTAGCAGTTAGCGCAATACTGACACGTGGTCCTGGCATTCAACGACCTTCGTAATGATACAGCTACAGCACATCTTGAATGCATGAGCCAACAGCCTCCAGCCCCCTCGGACGGTATTTCATAGCTTAGTAGCTCCCAAGCTGGTATTCTCTACATGTATTTAAAGGTTAGTGCATTGCACAGAGGGCCTAGTGGCTTGTTAGCACCCAACGGGTTAGCCCGAGGGCCGTATAATCGTCTGCCCAAAATTTCCACGCCTTTACCAACATTTGGTGAAGGTTTGAAAATGTTACCACCTGGTAGCTTCAGTTACCTGTTCCAACTCCTGCCGTTGTCTCTTCTGTGCTGTCTCCGTGAGCAGAAGGTTGGCACTCTCCTGCTGTAATCTGGACAACGGAAAACAGAAAGGAGTGGGCGAACTGTGCATGAAGCCGCATCTAGCATTCAGAGTCTTAGCCGCAGGGGCAAGTTTTGAGGTTTTTATGGGTTACAATTTTTGAAGTAGGCCCCCATACGGTAACCATGATAGGGTTGCCCTTCACTACAGACACACACACTGGGCTATAGGAGCATAGTAAAACCTGGTTTAAGTGACCACCCACGGTGCAAGCAAAAGCGGTCGTAAAAGCTAGGTGGTCTTTAGAACCAGGTCCCACAGTGTCTGCGTAGCACTGTCCGTGCATGGAAGGACGGTCGTTAAGAGCAGGTGGTCGCTAAACCCAGAGGTCGCTAAACCCAGAGCAGAGGTCGCTTACACCAGGTTTTACTGTATACGCAAGTAACAGACAATGGCTGGCTGACAGCTGCTCACCGTCTTTCCTCTTCTTCACGTCGCATGATCTCCGTTTGGCTCTTCATCGAACGGAAACGCTTGCGTGCCGTTCGGCCACGGAACGCCGACTACAGGGCCGTGAAAATCAGCAGCAAGCAAACAAAACAGAAAAATGTGAGGAAACAAGCTGACTTGTACTTGTACAGTCAAACCTCGTTAGGACGAACACTGATAAGGCGAACTTTCCATTAGTACGAACTAAGGCCAATCCTATGGTTGGCCAGGCATCAATTCAAGTCAAAATTATTCGTTTACGACGAACTTCTGTACAGCGAACTTTCGCGAAGACGAACTATTTTCAAGTGTGATTTGAACAAAGTCAGTGTGGTCATGTACATGTAGTACGAACTTTCGGTCCACGAGCGTGCGCGCGTGCGTGCGCTGGCTGTCTTTTTTCTTCTTGTTTTCAATACATGTACTCGAGGTACGTACAGTGCAAATTGTTTTCAAGCGTATTTTGAACAAAATAATCAGTGCGTTGTACGAACTTTCGACACAGTCGTGATTCATTGCACTTTGTCATTGTACTTACCTGTTTCTGGCTTATGCTAAGAATAACATGCTTCCCATGTACCACAGCATGCACCTTCACGTAAATACAATCCATCTGATATGCATATCGATTTTTTGTCAGATCTGGATAAGAAGAACTCCCGATAAGACAAACAAATGTGTTCAGTCCCTTGAAGTTCGTCCTAACGAGGTTTGCCTGTATGTCCTACACTTTGGCGCTGGTGTGCTGTGGATACACACATGATAGAAGTCCTGGGAAATTAGTGCCACACAATAAATTCCAACTTGTGTTAAGGGACCGTCCGGGGTTTCCGATTGTTTTTACAAAACGAAAATCTTTAGTATTTTTCAGCTCCCACCCACCACCCACCTTTTCTGCAGGTAAAACGAATTCCAATAAAATATTGATGTCAATTTTCGACAACCAAAAGTAACTAGGCATTCTCCATCTGCATTCAATAATTATTTTCAAAACGAAACTCCATCAAACCCACCCACCCCCAAACGAAATCTTTTCGTTTTGAAAATATTTTTGGTAACCTTGGACGGCCCCTTAGGAGGCTTTCAGATGACTGGTCTCTCAAAGCAGGTGGTCTTTCGAGATAGGTGGATTTTTAAGACAGGTGGTCTTTTAAGACACGTGGTCTGTTACTGCAGTGTTTCGCCATTGCTTTTTCTGAGTTTTCTCCTACACAACAGCCCTGGTTGCATCCAGAGTGAATGTTAACTTCAGAGTGATGTGAACTCTACTACTCAGACAGCCTGGAAGACATGATGTGTGGCATGTCGCTGTCCGTACCTGGATAGCGGTAGCGGCCATATCCTGTATTCCCGTGATGGAGAGTGCGCCCTGCTCCATCAGGAACTGTGCTGCCTCCTGGTGATCGCCGATGATGGCATAGTCCAATGGAGTTAGTCTACAAACACAGAAGGCAACCACAGCAGAACAACCAGGTCTATGAAGCGTAAAGAAGGTGGACGTCATTCAAGGTATGGACCTGGAAATACGGCATGATATGTCTGTCACTATGATAGCTGGCGAACAGTAGTTTTGCACGGCTGGATAAACATTAGGCTGCCGTTCTAATTAAAAAAAGAGGATCTTTCCCCTGGTGTCCTTCATCAAAGAGTAAAAAAATCACGATTGAGCAGGCTTTTAAACTCTGGCAAGGCCCTGGGCAGGAGCGCCACTTATTTTTTTTGTCTCAGTCCTAGACCACGTAACAGATCACGTTCCAACTGGCATGTAGTGTCCTACAGCAGAGCATGCTGTGTGTTTTTTACATTCCACCTCAAGCCCGACGAAACCGGTCCGGTTGGTCAGGTTATTACCGGACCAGCTTTTCGGCCACCAACACTTGTTTCCTACGGTGGAGGGCACGTGTACCCTCCATATCACACACACCGTATGAAAGGCCATGATACTACCGGATCAATCGAAAACTGCTTCTAGCGGTCCTGCACCTCTAAACTTAGGAGATATTTTCGAAGTGTGCGCCTCACCTGTCGCCGTCAACTTCCATCGGGTTGCAGAACGCTCCAAACTCCAATAGCAACTGCACTACTTCAATGTGACCCTGGGAAGC